CACTAATCCTTTTTTGAGAAAATCGGTTATCTTTCAATTTTTTTTTATGTTTTGGTTGATGTAACAATAATATAATTTATTCAAACATAACAATGTTTATCCGTTTTTTTGTTGCAAATTTCAGATTTTTTCGTTTTTTGGATTCGAATTTTTCACCAGAAAGAACGGATCAGATTTTAAGTATAATTTTGGAATTGATTTAAAAAAAATATGTTTAAACTTTTCACAGATTTTTCATCAATTTCATTTTTATCTTATTCTTCTTAAATTGAATTCCACATCAGACATTATTAATTTCTTTTCTTTTATTCTTTAAAATGACATCTATCTATCTATCTATCTATCTATCTATCTATCTATCTATCTATCTATCTATCTATCTATCTATCTATCCATCTATCCTTCTATCTCTGGTGCAAGTTTGTGCATTTTCTCTTTGGAGTAAGTAGCGACAGCTGTACGCGCAGCTCAAGCTGCCGCGCACAGATCCTACTTGCTCCACAACCAGTTCCTATAGCGCGCACCAGACAAACTTTCCCCCACTCAGCGCACGCACGCTCACTAGATAGATAGATAATTTTACTTTTTACAGGACATTCTTACCATCTTTTGTGTCGTCAAAAATTTTTATTATTTTAGTTTTTTCATAATTATTCATAATTATCTCTAAAAGGAAGATATATTCTATAATAAATCTCTTAAAGGAAGATATATATATATATATTTATCTTATAAGTGAGTTACTTCACTTTCCCTCCTGGTCATTCTATATCCTGAATACGGAATACCTATCTATCTATCTAACCATCTATCTATATATCTATCTATCCATCCATCTAACCATCTATCTATCCATTTAACCATTTTTCTACCTAATTATTTATCTATATATCTATCTATCCATTTAACCATTTTTCTACCTATTTATTTATCTATATATCTATCTATCCATCTATCCATCTAACCATTTAGTTACCTATTTATCTATCTATCTATCCATCTATCCATCTAACCATCTATTATTTTTGTGAGAAAATAGGAAAAGATAATATAAATTCTATTTTTGTTTTTGAAACTTGAATAAGGATGTCTTTATTTCTGATATCCCTTCACACCCCCCCCACCCACCATCTTTTTTTTATTTAATCCTTTTCTTCTAATTTCCATTTTCCTTACATTGTAACAAAACGAGAAATTTGAAAAAAGGAACTTTGCTAAAAACTCAAATTTTCTTTTTTAATACCTTTGCAACCAGACGTAACCTTTGGCATTTCAAACTGCGACTATTATATCTAGAAGAATTCATAGTTGGAAATATCAAAGGATCTACTACATCAGGTTATAAATAATCATTGCCTTAATTCGGAAATTTGCGCTTTTAGAGCCTGGAATGCATTTTTCTTTCCGATACAAAAAGTACGAGAGAATTGTAAGTTCTCTTTATCAAAATTGCTGAATGTGTTTTAATCATTTATAAACGTGAAAATAGTTTTATGAATCAACAATTTGCTGTTTTCAAGGAAATGCATTTTTTCGTAAAATAAAGCTTTCTGTTTTTCCTAACAGAATGAAACCTTGTTGTAATGCATGGCGGGAAAAATTTATTACGAAGATGCAACGGTTAGATCCCCCCCCCCTGTACATCCTAACCCTTCCCCCACTCACTTATATCATCCCTTTCTCTTGTTATTCCTTCCCGTCACCCCTTGAT